CAATTTATGAAGTGTTTTGATAAAAGCTACACTAACTCTTGAATATTTGGTTGTCAAGAAATGTTTATTGACAAGAGAATCTTATATGTCAAGGAGTCAGTGGGAAATCTTAATGGTCTTGAAAGGTTTCAAGAACAAATCAAATAAACCTTATCGATCATCACTAGCACACGAGTTGAGGTTTACAACCTATCGTGTTGACATTATTTTGTTTATGTGTTGTTCCAATTGAGTTAATTATGCATGTGAGTCCTATGAGTTCTCATTTTGAACGCATAAAAGGCAAGGCACCTTGATCAATGAAAGGTACATTGATAAGAAAAGATGAGATGCTTAACTACTTGGAAGATGTGGTGGGCAGCTGTGCTACCATAAGGCAAGAAATCAAGATTAAGAAAGTTCGGCCCATATGAGTTTGAATTTGTCGTAAACTTTGGTTTTAACAAATTCACATGGATAGGAACAAATACACCGTTTAAATCTAAGTGTCATAAGATTTCCTCCTTCATGAAAATGATTGTGAGAAAATGCTTTCACTAAGAAAGATTTTAAAAGGATAGTGATTGTAAAATTGCATTCTCGAATTCGATTATGGTTACGGTATCCCTTTCCATAATTTGAATTGTGGGGTTTGGCAATTAGTCTTAATTGTTTAGACACACATATGAACTATCTAAGGCAAAGGTGTATAAGTTCAAGAAGCCTTGATAAAAGATTATCAAAGCATTAAGTATTAGAAACATGGACTTAAGAAATTCAATAGGTATTGTTTTTCTAAAAGTTAAGATGTTTATGAATACATGTCGAAGCTAGTGGGAGCATAAGTGTTATGTTTTATAGTAATCATCATGATAGTGGGAGCATAAAAGGATATTCAAAGAATGTACTTTGAGTGAGAGACATCATATCTAAGGAATTGGCTTGTAACAATATCCGATAGAGGACTTTGTAATATCATTGGCAATAGTCTTTGTGACTTTGGTACAATGATATTACGAAAGAATCATTGCATACAATGTTAGAATCTAGAATATTCTATAAGTAGCAAGAATTTGATATTCTTTTACTTATGAAAAAGGATTTGGAGTTGTGAAATGAGAATGATTGGAAATGTGTACAATTTGATCTATTTTACAAAGTAAGAACCATAAGTAAACATTGTGTGCATGCTGGGAGCATGGGACAAGTGTAATAATTCAAGTAAGAAGTTGATTACCCGAAACGACAAATAATGAGTAATCGATATGGTGATAAATAAAAGGAGTTTTATTTATACTCAAAGGTTTGAGGCCATATGGGATTAGTATTATTCTTGTGTTTCACTTTGCATGTTTTGACTTCCAGAATAATTGAGTTTATTAAGAATAATCGAATTATTCAAGCGGGGCACAGTCGTTCATATGTTGGAAGTAGATATGAATGAAGACTGTCGTGAATTGGTGTGTGGATTGTCTAAAAGAGTATTAGACATAAGCAAATGTTTGTTGCAACGTTCATGAGTGCTTATGAATATGAATTTGAGCATTGGATTAAACCCACACTCACTTGGATCACTCCATGAATTGTGTCACGAGTGATTGGTGAGACGATAACATCTTATATTCTTGAAACCGAGATGTGTGAGTTGTATCTTGCTAATCGGTTGCACATTGATAATATGTAAACGCACTAGTAACTTGGTGTTATAAAACATATTGTTGTGTGTGATTTGGTTAGTGAGTGCAAGCAAGCATTGTATCAAAGTTTATCCGTTCCTTTTATCCAAGGTAGGATAAAAGCGATATCTTTTGGGCCCCTCGATGGTTTAGTGATGACAAACGTAAATGCTCGGCTGGGCTAGGGCTAATTTGATTTGTTCAATTAGTCAGTCGTCATAAATCGAAGATCGAGAAATAGTACAAAGAGAATGATTAGAAATCATATCTCATACGATATCTAGAATGGAGGAATATATGATCCCTTATCTAAGGACATGCGTATCTGATAGGATCAGAGTTGATAGCAGCATTGGAAAGCTACGATTGCAGATCAGGATCTGAAGTCATACGCATAATACTTATTAGACTTATCCAAGTGGGAGACTGTTGGATTAGTGTCCAAGTCCATAACTATTTTGGTATGTACTTGACCCGATGGTGTATGGTCCTTTTGGGTTGCCTTCACCAAAGCAACTTGATTGGAGAAATATATATAGAGAGAGAGGATAATATGATTTATTAATATGTTATAAGAATAATATATTAAAGGAGAAATCATATTTGTTTAATTAATAGTGGTCAATAATTAATTAGGAATTAATTTTGTGATCAAGTGTAATTAATTAAACTAGAGGGGCTGATCTGTAATTATGAGATAGTTACAAAATAAGGTAAGGATTATCTTAAATTTAGGTTGGATGAATTTAAGGTGATAAGGCCTTAGAATTCGACTATGATAAGGATTCAAGGATTATCTTATGGGTTGCTTTGTGGATAAGCAACTAGATAATGATAATGACTGAAACCCTATCTCTACACCTATATAAAGGCCCTGAGGTTCATGAATTCGTGAATCCCTTCCCAAGAAGTCCTAAGGACGAATTCTAACTCTCTCCTCTCTCTTTATACCTTCTCCATTTGCTCTTGGTGTTCGTAAGCCATTAGAGGAGTGACACTTGTGACTCTAAGCATTCCAAAGTTAATTCAAGGTGGAATTAGGATTGTTATTGCTATATAACAATCAAGGTATGTTCTTAAACCTTATTATATGTTAATATCGATTTCCATATGCTAGAATTAGGGTTAGAAGTCTTGGATTCAAAGCATGTACAATAGAGAAACCTAGATCCAAGCATTAGGGTTTGTATGAGCACATAGGATGTCTTATGACCAAAACCCATCAGAAACATGGGTGGATACGTTGTTATCAAGATGAACTTTTCACTATTGAGCCAGAAACACCTGAAACCAAAACTAAAAACCGAAGCACGAAGCTTAGCGAGTTCCCCAAAATGCCACATACCATACATATCAAACATATATAGGGATGGCAAAAGAAACTGAACCCGATGGTGAAAACCGAAAACCGACATATTAGGGTCGGGTTTGGGGTCGGTTAATTGGGGTCGGGATCGGGTTTGGTATGCTTTTAGAAAATTTTCACGGCTTTGGTTACGGGGACAGTAAACAAAATACACGTCCCGATTACCCGAAACCAAAACCAAAACCGAAACCATTAATATGATTATATATATATATATATATATATATATATATATATATATATATTATATATATTATGTTCTTTGAGTTATCTTCTTTGTGGTGAACGATTTAAAGATAATTTCTTGAGATAGCTTCGTGTTTATTTGTAATGTTAGTGTTTTGACATTTTTTTATTCATATTACTTAGAGTAATAATGATATTATGGTTTATGAATGTTAGTGTTTTTATTGTTTTTGTTGCCACTAGTAACCACTTATGTATCAGAACAAATATGTATGCTCCTAGTAGTTTTGTAAATTATCAAAATTATTTTGGATATGAATTTATGTTTGCATCACTAAGTCTAATGGTTTGTATTCTCATTTCATCAAAATTATTTTTAATTTGAATGTTAAACGGGGATCCCCATTACCCCGTTGGGATACCCGCAGATCCGATAGTGTTTGGTAAACAGATACCCGTTGGGAATCGAGCTGGTGATGGGATCGATTTTTCATATTCGAGGACGGGGGCGGGATTACCAAAACCCGTCCCAAACCCGCCCCGTTGCCATCCCTAAACATATAGTAGGCCCCGCTCGATGAGGGTAACGGGCCCCGACCTAACTTGCATAACAGGCCTCATCCTAACTCGGATAACGGGCTCCACTCACTTAGTATAATGGACCTCTCCCTAACTCGCATAACTGGCCTCGCCCACTAACTATAATGGGCCTTGCCCTAACTCATATAACGGGCCCTCCCCACATACAAACATACAAGTATACCAATGGTAATAGC